TGTTGTTATTTGTGTTGTTGTTTTGTTTTGTTTTTTAAAAAACAAAACTAAGTTGTCCAGCAACAGAAAACCAAGTAATAGAATTATGTAAATGCTCTCTGGACCCATCAGACCGCTCAGCAAATAATCAGATAGTAATTCGTATATGTGCGATGTTTTGACTTTTAATTAAATGTGTATTTAAGCATATTGATTCTTTGGTCATGCTGACTCAAATAAGAGACATGAATCCTTTTTCAAAGATGTAATCTACATAGGTAACATTTTCCTTTCCAACTGTGCCATTTGAAGAAAACATGAAATCAGTTACCAGGTTAGTGATTCTGCATATCTTGGTCCATTTTCTGGGTCAGAGTCATTTCTTTAGGTTGCTGGCCACCGTGTTGTTGTTGTTGTTGTTATAATGTGTGGTTCTGTCTAAACTGATTCATAGCTAAGCTTTCCGTGGATTTTCAGTCTATAAAGCGCATGGAAGGAGATTGTCCATCTTTTTCTGCAGAGCAGCCTTTGTGACAGCACAGCTCCTTACCCACTCAGCCACTGGCGCTCCCACTGGGGGGAGTATCAGAAGAGGACCCTAGCACTATCTCATTGCAGAGGCTTCCTCTGACTTTTTAAGCCTCGGTGTCAAGGAATGGAATTTATAGTTTATTCATTCTACATCTCAATTTTAAATTAGACGTGGTATCTTTAATTTGCCATCCTCTGATCTTTGTTAGTACCTGTACCGCGTTTCCCAAAGCCACATGGTTTGAAGCCACCGGCTGTTCTGTAATATAAGGACAGAAAACCTCCTCCTGTTCTGTTTACTGTCTTTGAAAACCCACTAGATGACCAACCAGGGGTCAGTTCTAACTCAATGCTACACATGATAATTATTAGTTAAGGAGCCCTGGTGGCGTAAGAGCATAAAGCCCTTAGTGTGAACTGTCAGTAGTGGGAATCCACCAGGTCAGTCTGTGGAATAAAGATGGACAATCTCCTCGTATAAAGACAGCTGCAGAGCCCAGTGAAGGGGCCCGGTGAGTTGGAGCTGACTTGACAGCAGCAATTTTGCTCTACTTATTTAATGAACAGTTGTTGCTGTTGTTGTTAGGTGCTGTCAAGTCGTAAACCACTCACAGCGACTCTATGAACGAAAGACCTGAATGCTTGTATAACTTTCACCGTTTCTCCAGGTTCATAGAGTTTCTGGAGGCAAACTGTTTCAGAAGTGATGCCACTCCTGCTTCCAAGCTTGTTTGAATCAGGAAGCTCCACCAAACACTGTCTACCATGGGTAGCATTCGACACATCAGTGTCACAGTGTTCAGCATCACAGCAACCATGAGTTACCGCTGTACAGCAAGTGGACAGACCAGTGCTGTACCCCTTAGAAGAATGTTTGACCAAAAACAATTAAAACCAGGCCCAAAGGCCACAGATTAAAATCACCCACCTTTGGCTTGGTAGCATCACTTTTTACCCACTAGGCCAACAAAGCTTTCTTTATGTTAATTAACAGTTAAGCATGTTATTAAAATACACACACACACACACACACACACATCCTTCTAGTTGGAAGTAAGAAAGAAAAACTTGCCATTTGCATGCTTTGCAGATATTTACTAGCTTCCTTATTGTTCTTTGTCTTTGCTTCTTTTAATACTGGTGGTTACCCATAGACTAGCTGTATATGGAGTCTATCTGTTCATTTATGTTGGTTAACTGCAGTCTCCTGGGTCAGGCCTTTGAAGAGTCCATTATTTCACAGCATTTATCTTGTAAGACCTTACCTTCATATTTGTGCTTCAGAGACTTATTCAATGTATTTGAGAAAGAAAGTGTGTTTTAAAGATATGTACTCTACAGTCCTCTTGTATCTTTCATGAGCAGAGGTATGAAGACAGCTGTATTATGGTTCTGGCCAGAACTGTTGTCCATTTACCATTTATTCATTCATTTAACCATTCACCAGACACATAATGTTAACTCAACTCATTGCAGAAGCTGACTCATAGCTGACCCTCTGGTGCATTTTAGAGGCTGTAACTGGCATGAGAGGAGATTGCCCATCTTTCTGCAGTTGGTGGATTTGAACTGCCTGCCTTTGGATTGGCAGTGCAACGTCTAACCCACTAAGCCACCACAAACTCCTTAAGGCTGTGTATTCTGTTCTTGGCACAGAGATGACCAAGCACATCCAAGAGTCACCTCTAGGGATTTCCAATGTGAAAGGATATGAATTGAAGGCTTTAACAGAGGGCTGCCTACAATGACCAGACACCCTGTTGCCACCATTTCAAGTCCACCGTGTGGACATTCCTCCACACATTCATCCTGGGGTAACCCCAAGCACAGCAGACACTTTTATGTATTTTCATTTCAGTGTAAAACAATATGTTACCTTTATGCCTTTTAATGTTAACTAACTTTTAAAGTGAAAACCTTTAAACTTATCTTTGCATATTTTACTGTGTGGAATATTTTCAGAAACATGAAAAGTAGCTTAGACATTTGGAGATGGAAATAAAGATATCATTGAGTTCTGTTTTTTAAAATAAAATTTCATTTTTTTACATTACATTTAATACATAATTAAACATTTAATTGTTTAAGGAACGTTTACAGAGAAGTTAGATTCTCATTCATTTATTGTTGCACATTTGATCCCCTCCCTTACCCCTCTCTGATTCACTTTTTTTTTAAAATATGCATTCATGGTTGTACAATTACCTCCCTCTCTCCCCAGTCCAATCTTTTTTACAGTGATATATCTCTTATTTTGGGCTGTTGTCGTATTTGATGTTGTTGTTGATGATTTCTGTCGAGTTGAGCATGACTCATAGTGGCCCTATACACAGAAGGCCGACTACATTTATCTAAGTTCATAGAGTTTCAAGAGGCATGTTGTTTAGGCAGTGGATGTCACCCCTGCTTCCAAAGTTGGCCTAATTTTATATTTATATATATATTTTTTTCATTGTATTCTTAAGGAGGGAAAAGACATGAAATCAAGTTAGAATATATGTTCACCTGGCAGAAATGGAGAATATTGCATTTCAGAGTGCCTACTGGCATTTGAACCCTGAAGGACATGTTCACCCTTGTGCTCTGTGTAGGGAGGACACGTCTTAGGCCTGAAGCTGGGTCCTCTGGCTGTTTTGGGAAAGGCTTGCTCTGTGAGTCCATTCCTGTAACCCTGGCCTCCACAAGAGGGGGACAGAGAGCACAAGCCTGGTCATTCCTGCCCTCAGCAGAGAGGCTGAAGGCTGAAGAGGGTGATTAGGGTTCTACAAAGGTCTCTTGGGAGGAAATGCGCTGATACTCCCAGTGATGTACCTTGCAAGGTCCTTCTGAAGACCCAGGAGCTTAATTATTTCTGATATACAATTTCTTGAACATTCATTAAGAAAGTGCATGCCCGATTCATGAATCCTGGCCAAAGTTCATCACTAATGTGTGGTACATTATCGGCACGCCGTCATACCCATCGATTGGTACAGACAGATCTCCCCACCGCCCTGCGTTCTTTGGCACGGGGTTTATCTTTGAGGAAACGGTAGCTTTCTGGTGGGAGATACAGCTGCTTCTAGGTGTGAACTTCAACCCTTAAATCTGAGTGTCCAGGTCCTTGGGTTGAGGGCAAGCATGCATACACCGCCTGTGCTTATTCACTGAGACACAAAGTTCAAAAGTGATTCTCAAAGTACTGATAAAACATTGGGTGAGCAAAGTGCATTTCACTGTGCAAAAATCTTCCTCCCTTCTGCAAAGTTAGTAGATGCCCCTTCCCTGTCCAGCCTTAGTTTGATATGCCTGTTGTTGTTGTTATTGTTGTTGTTTTTGTTGTTAGATGTCATCTAGTCAGAGCTCAAACTGAACTTTGAGAAATGCCGATAGTTGTAGAGGGACTTCAAGCCTTTTGTTCATACGTCACTATGAATCGTGCTCTACTTGCAGACAGTTAACAACAACAGCATAGTTGGGTTGGGTTATGACTTTGGAGGGAGAACAGTTACAGAAGTTAAGTGTTCATCTCATCCCATCATAAGTACATGCAGCAGCTTTACTTGTCACAGCTGATGTTAAATAAACACCAGGTTTAGATGGTATCACTACTTTATGGGTTTCTCCACTATGATTTGGAAGCAAGTCACGGAGCAGAGCCCACACTCAAGGGCTCCTCTGTTGTCTGAGGTGTATAACAGACTTGGAGATAACGGTGAAATGGCATGGTACAAAGAATTTCTTTTTAAAAACAACAGTGAGAACTAACTCATAGCTCCCCCTCACAGGAGATTGCGCATCTTTCTCTCCAGCAGAGCAGCTGGTAGACTCCGAACCTTCTACCTCAGGGATGGCAGCACAATTCCCTACCACCAGGCCACCAGAGCTCCCTGTCTAATAGGCCTTAGCGTGCATATTTGCCACTTGCCTCCTTTAGACAATTTATCTCAGGGTCCCCTAGTTTATAGGAGGCTCACGCCAGCTTTAGTTTCTTACTGATTCCTTGTCGCAATTATCATTTCCCCAAAGTGATTTTCTCCCAGTTCTTTAGGGCCCACTGCTGGCTTTTCATGCCTTTAAACCTTCCACATATGACTGCTGAGGTTTGAAAATTGTTTCTGTTTTGCGTCGTATTTTACCTCAGCTGTGGGATGATGATGTCGCATCTGAACCCCTCACCGTGTCTGTGCGAGCGGCAGACCTCATCTGGTCCCCGGCTGTGATACTGACTTGGTGATGTTGCTGAGACACACTGTTGAGCCAGTCCTTCCTGACTGCTCTCCATAGGATTGTCGTTTGCATGTCACCACACCTGTCTCCTCAAGTGTCCCTGAGTAGATTCGAACCCCCAACCTTTCAGATAGCAGTCAAGTGCTCAATGTTTGCACCATCTAGGTATTCATATTGATAGGTGGAGCCTTTAAAAAAAATTACAGCATATCCAAAGAGATCCATGTGCCTCGGCGCGGTTTGCCTGGTTTACACGTAGACTCCCCTCTTTGATTTGTCAGGTCGAAAAAATTTCAGTCTTTCATCGAGAGCTGCCTGGTGAAGAATCACAGTCAGCGGCCGGCCACGGAGCAGCTGATGAAACATCCGTTCATCCGAGAGCAGCCGAACGAACGGCAGGTCCGCATCCAGCTCAAGGACCACATTGACAGAACCAAGAAGAAGCGGGGAGAGAAAGGTGAGCAGCGCGGGGAACAGAGGCATCGTGAGGCCGCGGGCTCGGGGGTATCGGGAGTTGCTCGTGGAGGCTTCCAGTGGGCCTGCATTGTTCCTCGGTGTGTGGGGGGGCTGCCCCCCGGATCACGGCGCCTCTGGGCATCAATGCATAGACTGCGGGAATGACACCTTTCATGGAAGAAAAGACTGTGAGAAACTTTGCCTCTTGCAAGCACTGGGCAAAGGCATGTTGAGTGATGCCATGAAGGGCTTTCATATGACAAGTGATTCTCTTTTTCATTTTATTTTATTAATTTTAATGAACATTTACAGAGACTTTGGATTTCCATTCATTCATTGTTGCACCTTTTTCTCTACTCCTCCAACAAGTTATTCTCTTAAATGAATATTCATGTTTGTTGTTATTGTTGTTGTTCTGTGCCTTTGAGTTCCTTGCAACTCATAGCGACCCTACGTACAACAGCCCTAAACCCTACTCTATTCTGTGCCAATCTTAATGTCACCGACACACCTACCCCCATTACCCCAGTGACAGAACCAGTCCATCTCATTGAGGGTCTTCCTCTCCTGCACTGTCCCTCCACACTCCCAAGCATGACGTCCCTCTCCAAGGACTGGCTCCTCCTTGCAACATGCCCAAAGTATGTCAGACAGAGCTTCAGAATCCTTGCCTCCAGGGAGCAGCCTGGCTTCACCTTCTCCAGGACGAACTTGTTTGTTCTCCTAGCAGTCCATGATATAGTCAACACTCTTCTCCAGCACCACAGCTCAAAGGCATCAGTTGTATTTTAAAGCACATTTTATAGCACCTTATTCAGAGATAAAGGCAGTTGGTGAATCCATGTAAGTCATGATGAAGCTTCTACTTAAATAGTGATTAATACGGTCAATACGTTGACAGGATGGTGAGCCAATAAGAGACTAATTTGGCTATACTGGTAAGGAGAGACTAAAAGGTGATTTTCCACTTCCCTGTCTTGTGGAAGTCGAGTGCTAGGGACAGATGTCCCTGAATCGGGACAGTGTTGCAGATGGTTACTTCCACGTACTTGACGTCTGTCTCTAGTTGGGCAGCACATCTCCGGAGGAGCGGAGACAGGCCTGAGCTCATCATTAATGCCAGTTCTCTGGGCCTCAGTTTACTTTTATGTGAGATGAGGGTGTTGTGCTTTACAGGTGTGTTGCTCCTGTCTGTTTACTAACCTGTGAATCTCTCTTCAGATGAAACAGAGTATGAGTACAGCGGAAGTGAGGAAGAGGAAGAGGAGAATGACTCAGGGGAGCCCAGGTACGTTGGTGTGCGCACTTCACCTCTACCTTCCTTTCATCTGTAGGGTCACCTTTCAGAACCCGGCAGAGCGGTCTTATTTATGACCCAGGAACGTCCTCATTCATCTGAGAGAATTTCCCTGGGTAAACGCTTCTGGAAATGTGGGAATCAGCATATTTCTTTATCTTGTCCTCCAAGGTTTATGGTTTATATTCTTAAGCCTGTGTCCTCACATGTGTAGCATGTAAAATTGGCAGGAAAAATTATCTGGGTAATGCTGGGTGAAAAGTGCTAAAAATTACAACTTTCTGGAGACCCAGGTGATGTTTTAGGACTTGAGCTAGCTTGCTTGCTTCCTTCCTTCCTTCCTTCCTTCCTTCCTTCCCTCCTTCCCTCCTTCCCTCCCTTTGAGAAGCCTATTCAGACAGGCCATGTGCTTGTAACATGCCATGATGTTTTCCCCACAACCTCAGCCAGCAGGAAATGATTTCCAGGAACTCAAATTCCTCTTCCAAAGTGAACTCAAAATTACAGTGTTCATGCCTTTCTTGTTGTCATGTGTTGGACTCTAGCATCAAGGACCCACCTTGTTGCTACTGTCCTTGTGTTCTGAATTGGGTTTGACTTTGATTCGGACTTTTTTCTAGCTTGTATTTATAACTAAGACTGCTGTGTACTCATTTTCCATGGGAATCAGGTGGAAAGAACAGCGTTCTTGGCTCTGTGAGCCCAAGGGAGCTGGTTTAAGGACAGACCCCCAGCACCTTGCACTGTGAGCAGGAGGAAGACCCCCTGGGATAATCTCCCCCAGTTCCTTTATCGTGTTCATCAGCAGGACTTCCCAAAGAGGGAAGGGGCCAGCTTAGCTGCGTAATCGAATTCTGGTATTGCTGGAATAAATTAGATACCCCATAACTCGGATCCCCTGAGCTAGAGTCTTTCTTCTTGGTGGCCAGAACTGACTCATAGCTGATGGTTTTCAGATGGTTTTCTAGTGGGTTTTCCGAGGCAGTTAGTTGCACAGGACGAGATTGTCCAGCCTACTCCTGCGGTGCAGCTGGTGGATTTGAACCACAGGCCTTCAGGATTGCAATGCAGCTTCTTACCACTAGGCCAGAGTCATGCTTAGGAATTAAGCTTATAAGACAACCCAGTTTTCCTCTCTTTACTTGCTACAAGATTGCTCAAGGGATAAATAATGTATACTGCATTGAAACAGATGAGAGAGAGAACCGTTTAAAAGGGAAATATGATTAGGTATTATTGTCATGACAGGAGTCCAGAACAAAGGCTGCACATGGGAGTGGACTTGGGGGGAGGGATTGTGTAACAATGAAAGCGTTTTTCTTTTACTTTTCAAAGAGAAGAATTAACTAGAGGGGAGGGGTGGGCAGGGAAAAAAGAACAACAATAAATTAATGGAAATCCAATTTCTCTGTAAACTTTCATTAATTAATAATTATATTAAAATAAATAAAATTAATAATAATTTTTAAATTAAAAGAAATAAAAAATGTTTCCCAAGGTCAAAGGCAAAAGGGAAGTCCTTGCCTGGTACTTCATTTGCTGTCCATCCCAAGTTCACAATCACAAAGATCATGCCCATCAAGTAATGGAATGAAAAAAAGCAACCTTCCTGTGAAGCTGAAGTCCTGATGCCCTGCTTTCAAAGGATTTCCAGCACTGTGTGTGCAGTTTATCAGCTGGTCAGGTCACACCCCTCGTGGTCCCTCTCGGGAGAACCCAGGGACCCATCTTTTGTAACATTTGCTAAGCCGTGTTAAGAGTCGCCTCAGAGATGGACCTTACCACCTTGGTCATGCCTGAACACTCACTCAATATCATGAATCGTCCCAGCATATTGAAGAGTCTGTCCCTCCTCCTGTTGTTTTTTATTGATGCATCTAATTAATCTTTATGGATTCCTGAAAAGAAGTAGAGGAGAGTGAGTGAGAAACCAGGTCACACACTGAGTTAATGCTTGAGTTGGAAATGCAGCTTGGAGCGCCTGCTTTTGACTTGACACAATTGATGTTATTGACACGTCCTCTCGTGTGTGTGTGTGTGTGTGTGTGTGTGTGTGTGTGTAAGAGAGAGAGAGACAAAAGCAGAGAGAGAAAGAGAGAGAGAGGCTTGGCTCACCAACCACAGGACCTTTGCACAGAGCACGTGGCTTCTGGATCAGATAGGCACTGGGGCTGTGTGGGTTTTCGGTGGTTCTTGCGTTATACACAAAGCCTTGTTAGAAGAGAGAGTCCTTGTGTGGTCTAGCTGCCAACCAGACTCTGAGAGGGTCCAGTCCACTCAGGAGACCCCTCGCTTGCTAGGTCCTGGTGATCGACCTCCGGAAAAGGGGCCATTGAAACCCCGCGGAGCACGGTTCTGCTCAGACCTACACGGACTCGGCGTGTTTAGCACGTGGAGACCATGATGGAAGAAGACAAGTGTCCAGTCCGCTGTTCATAGGGTCATTAGGAGTCCTAGTCACTCAATGGTACCTCACAGCAACACGGGTTGGAATCCGTTTGACGGCAGATGATTTTGTTAATAGAACTTTAGCTTTGTCGATGGGATGTTGTGAATGAGGGCTTGAGTGCTTTTCTCTGGTGACAGGGCCCACTGACCCCTGTGCATAACAGAACCTGGATCACTTGCTAAGTGCCACCAAACGTTCTCTTCCCATCTCATTCTCCACCTTCTTCTCACCATCCCCACTTTCCATTTGTTCAAGGATGAAAGCTGGAAGTCCCCCATCCACACAACAAATCCACCCATGGCTTCCATCAGCTTGACCTCCAAACCCCCTCAGCCTCCTTCCCTGCCACTCCCATCCTGGTTAAACCTTTACCAACTCTGCCCAGAGCCACGGCCGTGGTGCTCTAACCTCCTGCAGCCTTGTGTCCACTTAGCAGCCAGCAAAGCCCACTCATGTGACTCTTCTGCTCTCTGTGACTTCCCCGGGAGCTCTGCTGGCTCAGGGGGAGGGAATCGCACTGCCAAAGCAAAGGTGCGGGGTTTGAATCTCCCAACTGTTTTTCAGGAGGAGATGGACAATCTCTTCTTTGTGTACTTCATTGCCTCTGAAAACCTGCTGGAGGGTCAGCCACGGGCCTTCTGAAATAGCCTGCCTCCAGAAACTCTAGGAACATGGAGAAACGATGAAAGTTATACAGGTGCTCAGGTCTTGCATTCATAGGGTCGCTAGGAGTCGTCTACGACTTGATGGCACTTAACAACAACAACAACATCTTGATGGTACACAACAACAACATGACTTCCCCAGCTCACAGCTTGACCTGATTTGACTTTTTTTTTTTTTTTGGTGTCACTCTTTCTCCTGTTTGGAAGTTCCGATAGCTTAATGCACAGGTGACCAGAAAGGTCAGCCATTAAATCCACCAGCTGCCTCTCAAGGGAAAGATAAGAGGTCTCCTCCTTGAAAGATTTACAGCCTCAGAACCCCAGGGAGGGTCCCTGTGAGTAGGAATTGACTTAAAGGCAGTGGGGTTGGATTTTTCTGTAGTATTTTATTCTCTGTGCTCCAGCAAGATGGCTAATCCGGAAGTTATCTCCCTGGGAGGCTAGTATGCAGAACAGAGATGTGTGTGACTTTGAATTGTTTACATACTCTTAGATGCACAGGGTGCACTCGGGTGACAAGTGGAATTTGCCTCTGCATTCTCTGACCAGATTCTCCCTGTTGCATGCATAACCACTGTTTTACTGAGGAGGAAACTGGAATCAGTAGAAGTAGCACTTTCTCCTTCTACAACTGGAGGTCAGGAAAAAAAATCCCTATTTAACTTCTCATTGACTGTCGTGCAGCAAGGCGAGCTCTGAACGCCTCAGATTAGCGAATGATCTTGGCCGTTGCCCCAGTTGGGCTGAGCCTCCTGGGTGTGGAGTGAAGTCAAGGAGAAGCGTGGTGAGAGGGGTCCATAAACTGGAAAGTTGTACCCTGATCTAAGTAGGGCTGATGCCTTTAACATTGCTGCTTTTTGCCTGGCGGCTTCATTCTTGCCTTTTTTAAATGCCAAAAAAAGAAGCCGCCCAGAGGATACAGTGCAAGCACACTAAGGACTTTGAAAGAAATTGTTGCCCTGTCTCAAGGGTGAGGGGGAATGGCCTAGTTCTGGACTAGAGCAGTGATCCCAGGATTGTGACATGCAGAAATGGGGACAGTGGTGTGATTTAAGTGAGTGGATACTGCACACCAGCCTCCTCCTGTCTTGACTCTGTGCCTTTTAGGGTGAAGGATTTCGTTGTGAAAGATGTGAAGGATTTTATTATTTATTATTTCCATGTTGTTGTTGATGATTGCCATCGAGTCAAGGTTGACTCATAGCGACTCTAAGAACAAAATACCTAATGCCTTTCCATAGCTATTGTTGTTTCTCCAAGTTCATAGTTTCCAGAGGCATGTGGTTTAGGAAGTGGATGCCACTCCTGCTTCCAAACCTGTTTTACAACCGGGAGCTCCACCAAACACTGTCCGTAACAGGAAACCATTCTGGTATTTGATATCCCCATGGCACAAGGTTCAGCATCACAGGTTACCCCATACAGCACATTGACAAAGATTGATGTGCAAAGAATGAATGAATGAAGGAATGAAATGAATGAAGGAAGGAAAGAAGAATGTTCCTCCAGATATAACAGCACTAGTCTCATTTAGCAGTGGCTAAGTGTTGAGTCAAATGTGACTGAGTAAGCTTTGCACAACAGACCTGAACTCTGTTCTATATAATTAACATCCTTTCTGTACATTTATAAGAGAGTTTGTAGAGTTTCCAGAGGCATCTATAATTTTCATTTTATTATTATTATTATTATATATTATTATTTCATGAATGGAGGACCAGGATTCTGCAGGTGAACCTGCTTGTGACATCTTTCATGTGTGTGGTTGTTTCTAGGGTCTGGGTGAAGGATTTCATTGTGAAAGGATGTAAAGGATTTTATTCTTCTTTCATTTATTATTATTATTACTACTACTATTATTATATATTATTACTTGAGAACCAGCCGCCTGCGCGTATGTGGGTGCACGTTTCTCGGTCCCGGGTGGGGACAGCCTCCCGCCCCGGCAGATCCTGAGCTCTGTCTCCTGCCCACAGCTCCATCCTGAACCTGCCGGGGGAGTCCACGCTGCGCCGGGACTTCCTGCGGCTGCAGCTGGCCAACAAAGAGCGGTCGGAGGCCCTGCGGCGGCAGCAGCTGGAGCAGCAGCAGCGGGAGAACGAGGAGCACAAGCGGCAGCTGCTGGCCGAGCGTCAGAAGCGCATCGAGGAGCAGAAGGAGCAGCGGCGGCGGCTGGAGGAGGTGAGGCCCCCCCCAGGCACCTCTGCGCCTGCATCCCTTGGGGTACGTCTCATGGATGCCCACCAGGCACGCTGCAGGCCTGGACCCCACTATGAGGGGCCCTACAGCCTGCTCACAGCACACAGCGTGGCAACAAGCCAAGCTACCAAGCCAGGGACGGCCCTGGGCTGTGTGCTGGTGGGCCACCGGGAAGAACAGGGCAGCGGCTGAGTCCCTGCAAGGCCCCTACACGTGGCACCTTTACGCACTGGTCACCATTCCCTCATCCCTAGTCATTGTCTCTGATGCATAGCAACTAATTACAAAAATCTTGGCCTGAATCAGGTGCACCTTACTCTCCAGACTGACATCGTTGCTCTTCAGTACTTTGGAGAGGTCTCTAACAGCACCCTTTCCCAGTGCAATTCATCTTTTCATTTTCTGGCTGCTGGTACCAAGAGCGGATTGTGGAGCCAAGCAGACTGAAGCTGTGAGAAATCTCAGTCTCCTCACTGTCTGTCATGATGCTGCCAATTGGCCCAGGGGTCAGAATCTTTGTGGTAGCATCCAGTGAAGAGGGCGTTCTGGTTTCATGGTCGCACTGCTGTCCCAAAGGCTGTATCTCTCTGATGACCCCAACCCACCAGCAGTTCCTTGGGAGAAAGATGGGCTGTCAGTCTCCTTTCGTTTGACTTACAGCCTTGGAAATCCAGTGTGGCTTAACTATGAGCCAGTGACTAAGAAAGCGATAGCGTTAACTCAAGGGCAAGTCAGAAGGCAGACAAGAGGGTCACTAAACGCACAGACGGGGCTGTTATCTTCCAGTTCGCCCAGGCACCAGCAGGCTCTTCCTGAACACACATGCCTTGTTAGGTGGCCATGGCAGAGCAAACCGCGTGGTGAATTGCAGACGCGATAAACAGACTGCCTTTTAAATGATACATCAAGGACCAGTCTCCTGGGTTTAAAGCAGTGGGGGATAAACCTCATCACGGCCGTTGTTTTCGGTGCCATCGAATTAGCCATGACTCATAACAACCTTGTGAACAATAGATCTGAAATTTTCCCTAGCAGACACTTCTGCGTCAGAGAGCTGAACAATGACTAGGGATGACAGAAGCAGTGATGCCTTTGAACTGTGGTGCTGGAGGAGTATTGAATATACCATGGACTACTAGGAGAGCAAACAGGTTCGTCCTGGAGAGGGTGAGACCAGGCTGCTCCTTGGAGGCAAGGATTCTGAAGCTTTGTCTGACTTACTTTGGGCATGTTGCCAGGAGGGACCAGTCTTGGGAAGGGACATCATGCTTGGACGAGTGGAGGGACAGCACAGGAGAGGAAGACCCTGGATGAGATGCATTGACTGGGTGATTGGGATGACGGGGATGGGTGTGTCAGACAGTGAGACTGGCTCGAGGTAGAGTGGGTTTCAGAGCTGTTATACTTGGGGGCACCTCACAACAACACACCATTCACATCATCTGTTCATATATAAACTCACTGTTACAATCACTGGCAATCCGTCTTCTTGAGGACCTTCCTCTCTTTCTCTGACCTTCTCCCTCCCATCATGCCCCAGGAGTTTTACTATGTAGATTAGGAACAGAACGTCATTATTGAGAGCCCTGCCTGCCCAGCACTTAGTGGGTATTGAGCTTAGCTGTAGTTCTCATCAACCATCTTTATCTATTTGTGTATTTTCTCATCTTTATCTATTTGTGTATTTTCTCGTCTCTTCAGCATCACACATACCATTTCCATTTTACAGAAGAAAAAAACTAACACTGAAGTTCAAGGTGAAGTAGCTCATCTCATGTCACAGGACGAGCAAGTGCAAATAAAGATACACACCAGTTTTCCCCAGGTCTGATGTCCATGCCAGCTCTTAAACGGCCAGGGTTGAAGTGCAATCAAAGCCTTGAGCTTGGATCTCACAACTGGTCCTTTCAGATGTCTGCGGACAGCAGAACACAAGCGGAGCGCTTTTCAGTCTGAGCAGACCAGTCTGATGCTGTTGGTGAAAAGGAGGCCTCGCTTGTGGGAAATCTAACATCCACCTGCCGTCTCCCGGCTGAGAATTACAAGCGGCACTGCAGCACGGGGGGCAGAATCCTCCAAAGACTGGCAGAGGCTGGGCAGTGTGAGGCTTTGGGCCAGAGGAGGCAGTCGTCAGAGTGAAGTCCAAAGCTTAGGAATGGGAGGTTTGTGGCATCTCTGGCTACTGCCCCAGGCACAGGCTCTCGGGCAAGGTTTTGCAGCTGTTCTCTGTGTCATCCTCTCTGACACACCAGGCCAGTCAGGCCTCTTGCTCTGGCCCCATGCCAAGTCCACCACCGTTCCTTCCTGTGTGGACCCAGGTTTACTCCTTTGGACTTCCTATCACACCTCTCTCACCTGCTCGGTGAGTGAGCTCCAAGCCTCAGCCCTGGGAGTCCTGCCTGCCCTGGTCCTTCCCAGGCTTGTGGGGTGATCCTTCTAAGAGCGCTCCCCACAGTCGCAGCTTCTCGGGGCATCACACCACAGGAGCTTGACCAGTGATCACTTTACCATCTAGATAGAAGAGTCCTGCCCTGAAGATTTATTGTCCTTGTGTTTGGGGTTAAAGAATTCACCATTTCCTTTATTCCCCTTGAGATGAAACAAACTCAAACAAACTTGTTGACCCTCCTGTGTTCTGCACAAGTTCTGAACTATCCACGAGGAGACTGTCTGTATGTCTTCTGGGGGGGGGGGGGGGCCTGTGGATTCAAATCACCCACAGCACAGTTTCCTGTCCACCAGGCCATTAGAACACCCTGAACAGATGGCCCTAGAAAATACCCACTATCTTTCTTTTTTTTCTTTATGAAATTGTTTAATTATTATTATACTAGTTTATTTATAAAATTCAAATAATTTGTTTTCCAGAACAGATTCTTCCAATTTCCCTCAACCCCTCCATCAAATTAATCCCCCCTCCCCCTGCACATCCACATCCCTCTGATTCCCCCTCCCCCCTTCACCTTGGATCCTCATATTCATTCTATAATCATGGTTTTATACAATATTTATCCTTGTGGGACTGAGTTAGTTCACTCAGCATAATGCTCTCCAGTCACTCCCAAGTTAGGTAGTAATTTACAAAATCATTGCTCCTGTGTGCTATGTAGTATTCCACTGTGTGAATGTACCATAATTTCTCAATCCATTCATTTGTGGTTGGACACTTGGGCTATTTCCATGTTCTTGCTGTGGTGAATAATGATGCTGTGAACATTGGTATACAAGTTTGTGCCTCAGTTTTCATTTTCTCAGGGTATATTCCAAGTAGTGGAATAGCTGGGTCATATGGAATTTCTATGTTCAGCTTTTTGAGGAAGCACCAAACTGCCTTGCAGAGAGGTTGTACCATTTTACAATGTATAAGAGTTTCTTTCTCACCACATCCTCTCCAACATCTATTATACTTGCTGCCCTGTTAAACTTTGCCACTCTTACTGGGGTGAGATGGTACCTCATTGTGGTTTTGATTTGCATCTCTCTTATTGCCAGTGATTTGGAGCATTTCTTCCTGTGTCTGTTTGCCATTCGAATATCTTCCTCTGTGAAAATTCTTTCCATGTCTTTTGCCCATTTTGTAATTGAGTTACCAGTCTTTTCTTGTGGAGGCCCAAGAGTATTCTCTAGACTTTCATTATAGATCTCTTGTCTGAGATGGAATTACCAAATGTTTTTTCCCAGCCGGTAGGTTTTCTTTTCACCCTATTGGAAAATTTTTTGATACATACATGGATTTAATCTTTAGAAGGTCCCATTCATCCATTTTATCCTCTTTAGATTGTGCATTTCAGGCTGTATTTGGTAGTCTCTTTATCCTGTGAACTAGCACTTCTAAGCTTGATCCCAGTTTGTCTCTTATAAACTTTATCGTTTTGGGCTTTACTCCCAGGTCTCTGATTCACCTTGAGTTGATTTTTGTGTCTCGTGTGAGATGTGGATCCTGTCTCAGCTTTCTGCAGGTGGAAGTTCAGTTTTGCCGGCACCATTTTTTTAAGAAGTTGTCATTTCCCCATTTGATAGCTTTGATTTCCCTGTCGATTATCAGTTGACTACATCACTGTCTTTCTATAATACATTTAAAATGCTCCAGAGCGCGTGTCCGTGTGTGTGTGTGTGTGTGTGTGTGTGTGTTGTGCCTGCATGCACACACAGATACATGAATTTCCTACTATTTTGGAATTTTTTTCCCTACTGCCTATAGATCCGTAGTTCAGAGTCTCATTAGTTGATGCATTGTTTAGTTTTCACTTTTGTCTTTTCCTCCTGTCTTGTTTGGCACGGCTGGTGGGTTCTCTCTGCTCTCTTACGTGGAGCTGCTCTGATAATAATTTCTAACAGTTACAGAGCACTAGCTGTATGGCCGGCACCCTGTTCAGCACCGGGCATGAATTGTCTTGTTTAATCTTCACAATAATCCCGTGAGGTGGGAAGTACACTTACCTCCCAGTTACAAGACAGTACAATTGCACCTAGGGATGGGTCATATCTGACGGTCAGGGAGCTTCCAGAGAAGCCAGGCTTTAGACACGAGAATTGGACTGCAGAGCCCATATTCCAAGGTGTGACACGCACTTGCCTCTCTTGATAGACCATGGTCTGGCCACTGCTTCTGAAGGGTTTACCTCTTAAGATTTAATCATTTCCAAGCAAGGCCAAGAAGTTGTTCCTGTTGTTGTGATCTGAGTCATGTCCCCCAAAATTCATGCTCACCTGAACCCCCACAATGTGATTTTTTTTTAATTTGAAATAGGCTTTACAGCTATAACTAGTGAAAGGTCTGTGAGATTGTATTTTGGATTTAGCATGGGCTGCAGATCCAGAGGCAACTTGTAAGAAGAGAGAACCCGGAGAGGAGAAGAAGGCTGTGTGAACATGACAACAGAGATGGGCGCCATTCAGGCCGTGGTCCACAAACACCACAGCCTGCTTGCTGGAAGCCCCCAGAAGCCACAGAGAGGCAAGGAGGGTGTTCTTCCCTTGAC